GAACCGCTTCTCCGGCCATGCTGAGGCCATGTCCCACATACAGCAACTAGAGGGATGTGCAGCTATGACATACAACTATCTACTGGGGCTTTGGGGGAAAAATAAATAAATAAATAAAATTATTAAAAAAAAAAAAAAAAACACTGTGAAGAGAATGAAAAAGTAAGCCATAGACTAGGAGAAAAATCTTTGTGAAATGTGTATCTGATAAAGGACCTGTATCCAAAATATACAAAGAACTCTTAAAATTCAACTGTAATTTTTAAATGGGCAAAAGATCTGAACAGTCACCTCCCCAAAGAAGATGTACAGATGGCAAACAAGTGTATGACAAGATGCTCAATGTATGTGCTCATAGATGTTCAAGATGCTTGTATGTCATTAGGAAATTGTAAATTAAAACAACAGTAAGATACCACGACACATCTTTTAGAAGATGACACCATCAAATGCTGGTGAGGCTGTGGAGCAACAGGAACTCTCATTCATTGCTGGTGGGAATGCAAAATGGCGCAGCCTCCTTAGAAGACAGTTGGGCAGTTTCTTACAAAACTAAACATACTCGTACCATATGATCCAGCGATCACATTCCTTGATACTTACTCAAAGGAGCTGAAAACTTATGTCCACACAAAAACCTGCACATGGACATTTATAGCAGCTTTATTCATAATTGCCAAAACTGGAAGCAACCAAGATGTCCTTGACAGTTGAATGGGTAAACAAACTGTGGTACATCCAGACAGTAGAATATTATTCAGTGCTAAAAAGAAATGAGCTATTGAGCCATGAAAAGACATGAAGGAAACTTAAATGCATATTGCTAAGTGAACGAAGCCAGTCTGAAAAGGCTACATAATGATTCCAACTAGGACATTCTGGAAAAGGCAAAACTATGGAGACAGTATAGAGATCAGTGATTGCCAGGGAGAGAGAGGGAGGAGGGAGAAGATGAATAGAGGGAACACAGGGGACTTTTAAGGCAGTGAAACTGCTGTTTGACACTGTAATGGTGGATATATGATATGATGCATTTGTCAAAATCCACAGAACTGTACAACAGAAAGAGTGAACCCCCATGCAAGGTATGGACTTCAGCTAATAACGTATCGCTGTTGGTTCATCAGTTGTAACAAATGTACAGCGCTAATGCAAGTTGTTAATAATAGGGGAAACTCTAAGTGGGGAGAGAGGGGTTATATGGGGTTTCTCTGTACTATCTGCTCAATTTGCTATAAACCTAAAACTTCGCTAAAAAATAGGCCATTAATTTAAAAAAATTAAAGGCGGTGTAAGTAGACAGCTGCACTGCTCCATGACAGTACAAGCAGCTTAGCATGAATGTCCTACACGGACCCTCTCTGAGTTTATTTGGGTACCTGCCAACCCCTGGGGCACTTGAGTTTGCAACCTCTATATACCTGCCTCTCTCCCCACACAGGGCCCCTTCCATGAAACCCCAGGACTCCACAGAGCATATCTGAAAAACACTGGTCCAGGCCAGCCAAGAGGACAGAGCTGCCCCCAGTCACTGCTCTGGCTCCATTCTGAGCCTCTCATTTGTCTGCCACACAAGAATGAGCTCTCCTCCCAATTATGAGGTGCAGAACCCCTGGTTATTTCCCCAGCCTCTTTTCTAAGACAATAAAGTGCATGATGTGTGTGTCAGGAAAGGCCTAGTAAACACACTCCCCGGCTATAAGGTAGAAATAGACTGTGCCTGCGAGTGAAGTTCAGAATCTTGAATTTCAAAGATGTGTATCAGATCACCCGTGGGACCTTTCCCAAAAGCATGCTTCTAGAGCTCAACCCCAAGCCCGTTTGATGACTGCTGGAAGAAGGGTCTCTGGAGAGATGGCTCCCAGGCAGGCTCTGGAGCGCTATTGAGGCCCCGTCACATGTGGTGGCTGCCGGTGCCCTGGTCGGATCTCTAAACCTCGGCAGAGATAACCAAGTGTCCTGAACAGTGTTTGTTAGGACACCTAAACTATGAGTGTTCGGCTCCCCTAAATTCCCCCACACACAGTAGTTTGGATACCAAAAACTGTGGGCGGAAATGTTACAACAGAGAGGTGAGAGGAAAAAGCTCCCTGCTAGAGACTGGAAAGGGAGCCATCTGGGGACACTGCCATTCACCTGCCCCGTGCTCCTTGATGCTGGCAGAAAGGAGCTCACAGAGCTCTACTCGGGGGAGGCGGGGCCGTGACCCATCCCAGGTCCTCGCAGCTCCTCACACATTCTCTGCAAACAGCCAACAGCGGAGGATTGATGTCCTTACATTCTCCAAGGAGCCAGCATTGGCTTTCTTCTCCTGTGGTAATAATATCCCTGTCGTTTATCAAGGGCCCCATGGGCCAGGCACTGAACAAATGGGTGACATAGGTGCCATCCTTGTCCCCATTTTACAGATGAGAACACTCAGGCCCCGAGAGATTAATTAACTTGCCCAAGGTCACCCAGCTAATAAGTGGTGAGCCCAGGACTGACCAGGCCTGTCAGCGTCTGGCCACCCCCCTCACTCCTCAGGTCAGCTTCCTTTGATGTTCACAAGAGCCCTTAGGGGCACATGTATGTTCTGTTGTTTAGTAGGAGGTGATGTTTTCCAGCCCATATTCTGTACTATTTCATACAATCATGCTTTCTTTATATTCTGCCAAATGCCGGGCCCCCTGCTTGGGGGGGTGTCCACAGTCTGATTTTCCAAGGGGCCAGGATTTTCAAAGAGCAAATCTCTCCTTGCTTAGAAGGCCAGCCTCTGACTGGAACCAGAGCTCCCTGCTATTGGCCCCACCATTTCTGTTGAGAACCCCTGAATTCAATGCCCCCATTTAACTAATGAGAAAACTGAGGCTCGAAAGGGAATGTGATGTTTTGAACTCGGTAGTTAATTACGTGAAATGCTGCCTCTTTGAACTTCCGACTCCGTGCTGAGTGGCGTTTCTTCCTCCCTCCCACCTCCTGCTCCCCTGCCCTCCCCCTGCCTCCTCTCCCCTCTCGGCTTTACTCCTTCACCCCCTTCTTCTCCCATCTCTTTCTTCCACTCTCTCACTCTACCTATCTTTATTCCCACCCTACATTCTCTTTCTCCTGTTTTTTTTTTTTTCCCTGTCTTCCCCACTGTGCTTCTTGCCCCTTCTTCCATGCTCTCCATCAGCTGAGGCTGCCCCTCTTTTTGCTTGTCCATTTGTCCACTCTGCTGCCAGCTTAGATCTAAGAACTAGCCACTGGGCAGGGCCTCCTAGGATCTCCTTGGGGAACAACCGTTAGAATCCTGCTTCTCCCCCGGCATCCACCTTGTCTGAAAAGCAGGGCCCATTCTGGCCTTGGCATTCCTGGACATTCCTTAGGTATCCAATTTAAGATGATCCCAGGATGTGCTTGCCAAGAGATCCTTAATCCTGAAGTTCAGAACCTTGGATTTTAGAGGTGCATATCAGCTCACCGTCTGTTACCTCCAAGGAGTCCCCTCAACTTAGACTTTCACAACGGCTGTATCAAACAAATGCTCTTTACAAGCAGTGGGCCCTGGGCAAGCCAGCTCTCCGCTTGGGGATTCCCTGTCTTGTCTGTAAGATGCGTCAGGGTCCCTCTGACACTACTATTCTACGAGCAGATAAATGTTCCGGTGCCATTGAAGAGCTACTGCAGCGAGAGGGCGCCTCCGGCTGACTGTTTGCGCCCGAGCTCCAGAGTGGCTGCTCTCGACGGACTCGCTGCAGCCAGGCGCCGGTCCTCTGCTCCTCAGGTTCTGAAGGAAACCTGATTTTGTCACTTCCCCAAGGATGCTCAGGGCCTACGGGCTGATCGCACTAAATTCACAACACGCTGTTAGGCAATCCAGGAAGCTTAATCATTATTGATGTTACTTATTAATCCTTATTAAGAAAGAGATCATTAATTCTGATGGCTGGTTTGTTCTGTCTCCAGAAGGAATGTCAATGTGAGAAATGAATTCATTGTCAAAGGCTGATTGGTCAGGAGAGAGGACAGAAGTAATTCGTGGTATCATCCTGAGGGCTCGGAAACCGAGCTGAGGCATCCAGGGACACTCCAGCAGCCTCGGGACTAGAGGAGTTATTTCCCTCAGGAGCCCCAAGCCTTTGCATGTGCCTTCCTCCTGCATGAGCTGGTTGAGGCAATGGGTCGGGCAGCTGGGCCTCCGCAGAGGGTGCTGGATGCCCCATCTGCCATGGTGTGGTGATGCCCTTCTGCCCTGCCCATGTCCATCTCTGCTCCTCTTCCTTCCTCTCCCAACCCTCAAGTTGGCGCCTGTGAACACTCCCTGGCATCTTAGAAAAGGCTCCGCTGAGAAACCGTTGAGTTAATGAGCCAATTCGTGTACCAATGACTTGATCTTGAAGACGCTACAGCTTCCAAACTGAGCTTGACCCGGTGTAATCAAAGCACCTCCAGGACGGAAAGCCCTTTCGCCTTCCCTTCCCAGGGCCTGCACCAGGAGCCCCTCAGAAGGAGCCCTGAGAATTGGCCGCTGTTCTCCAGAGAAAAGCAGGCAGAGCCTGCCACCTTGTGGCTGCCTCAGGTCCTACCGCAGCCCTCGCCAGACAGCACAGATCCTGGACTCTCCCCAAGACTCAGTAGAGAGTCTCTGGGATGCTGGGAAATAACCATCTGAAAAACAATTCCCAGGCCCTGATTTCCTGTCCTGTTTGTTTGACTCACAGCCGGAACCTATGGGGGCAGGCGCAGGGTAAGGGGCCCTGCCACGGGCTGAGATGGGAGAGGGCAGAAGGCTGGAGCTGAGGAAGGGGCTGTACTCACAGATGGGACAACAGGTTGTCAGGCCTGTGGAGTGCCTTGGACTGTCTCTACCCTAGCCCACCTCTCAGCCTGAATGTCCCCATCTGTAAAAGGAGGGTTCTAGCCAGGTGACTTTTAGGCCTCTGCCAGCTCTGACATTGTGTCTAGGCAGGATCATCCCAAAACAAGAGCGAGACGACCCCATAATGTCACTGGCATCCCAGGGCAGCTTTGGCTGCTGGCCTCTTCACCTCCCAAGGGGCACTGCTGGGTTCCACTGTTTGCAACCAGGAATCCAAGGCATGGCACATGCACCAGGCAGCCTAGTTAAACGGACAAAATTGCATCTGCGTGAGCTGTTGGACCCGACTCCTCACTCAGGGAGCACGGAGCTGGTGAGTCGATATGGCCGGGGCGAGCCATGCATCTCCAACGTGTGCTTCCTCAGAGCGCCAGAGTCGGGTCCGGTTAGTAAAGCATCATAGCTGAAAGCACGGGTTCTGAAGCCTCACAGAGACGTGATTAGACCCAGATTCTGCCACTTACAAGCTGGATAACTTTTAGAATTTCTTTACCCTCTCTAGGCCTCAGTTTTCTCATCCATATAACGAGGATAGCGAGGCTACCGAGAGGATTAAATGGCATGATGTTTGCGGAGCGCTCCCCCAGAACCTGGTGTGTAGATGGCGTCTATAAATGACAGCTATGATCAGTGTCGTTTTTGTTCAGCTTGTGCATCCACTACGTGCAATGCTGCAACTGTGAAAACTGATGTGTAAACCATCTGTTATGGACGAAATGTTTGTGTCCTCCCAAAATTCCTTTGTTGAAACCTATCCCCCAATGTGCTGCTGTTAGGAGGTGGGGCCTTTGGGAGATGATTCGGTCACGAGGGTGGGGCCCTCATGAATGGGATTAGTGCCCTTATAAGAAAAGGCCAGAAAGCTAGCCCACTCTCTTTCACCACACGAGGACACAATGAGAAGTCGGCAGTCTGCAACCCGGAAGGCTCTCACCAGAACACAACCATGCTGGCACCCTGATCTCAGACTTCCAGCCTCCAAAACTGTGAGAAATGAATTTCCATTGTTTATAAGCCTCTCAGTCTATGGTACTTTGTTATAGTAGCCCAAACTGACTAAAACAGACATTAGTACCAGAAGCAAGGTGCTGTTATAACAAATACCTAAAAATGTAGAAGCAGTTTTAGAACCAGGTACTAGGCAGAGGCTGAGAGAGTTTTGAACTGCATGCTAGAAGAAGCTGAGACTGTCGTGAACGGACTTTTAAAGGCTATTCTGGTGAGGGCTCAGAAAGGAAAGAGGAGAGCTGTAGAGAAAGCTTCCGTCTTCTTAGAGAATACGTAAATAATCATGTAGAGAATGTTGGTAGAAATATGGATGGTAAAGGATATTCTGATGAGGTCTCAGACAGAAATGAGGAAGATGTTATTGGACAATAAAGAAAAGGCAATCCTTGTTATAAAGTTGCAAAGAACTTGGCTGAATTGTGTTCATGTTGTAGTGTTTTGTGGAAGGTAGAACTTGCACGTGATTGAATTAGATATTTAGCTGAGGAGATTTCCAAGCAAAGTGTTGAAGGAGTGGCTTGGCTCCTCCTGACTGCTTATGGTAAATATAAGAACAGAGAAATGACTTGAAGGTGGAATTATTAAGCAAAAAGGAGCTAGAACTTAAAGATTTGGAAAATTCTCAGCCTATCCATATTGCAAAAAATGAGAAAACATCTTCAGAAGAGAACACTAGGGGTGTGGCTGAGCAACCATTTCATAAGGAAATTAGTGTAGGTGTGAATCCCAGACTTCATCAGCTACCTCAGCAAGAAAACTGACAGATTGAACTGAAGGAGAAGGAGATGGGAAGGAAATGAAGGAAGACTGTTGGACTTCTTGGATTTTATGGGATGGGACTAAAGAGCTATTTGCTGTGAATGTGCACTATTCTTCAAGACAAGGGAAGAATGACCCCAAAGATGATTCAGAGATCGTCACAGCTGCCTCCTCCATTTCAAAAGGGGTGACCATAGCCTTGCTTTCAACAGGCCAAAGGGCCTCTGGCAAAAGCTGTGGGGGCAGGGCCACCCAGCAGAACCATGAGAGCACGACCCCTGCACAGCAGAGCCCAGCAGGATCTCCACCTCAGTGGGTCTAGAACACGGGACCTTCACCCCAGTGGGTCTGGAGGCAGAGCATGAGCCGAAGAGGATTACTCTCAAGACTGAAAATCTCGTGGAGTTTGCACTACTAGATTTTGGACTTGCTTACGACCTGTCACCCCTTTCTTCTTTCCTGTTTCTCCATTTTGGCATGGGAATGTCTGTCCTATGCCTGTCCCATCATTGTATTTTGGAAGCACATACCTTGTCTGGTTTCCCAGGTTCACAGCTGGAAAGGAACTTTTCCCTCAGGATGAATTGTACCTCGAGTCTCACTCATGTCTAATTTAGATGATATTTAGATAAGACTTGGACTGTAGACTTCAGAGTTGACGCTGGAATGAGTTAAGACTTTTGGGGCTGGTGGAATAGGGATGAATGTATTTTACACATGAGAAGGACGTGAATTTTGGGGAGCCAAGGCAGAATGTTATGAACTGAATGTATCCTCCAAAAGTTCATATGTTGAAATATAACCCCCAAGGTGATGGTATTTGGAGGTGGGCCTTTAGGTCATGAGGGTGGGGCCCTCATGAATGGGATTAGTGCCTTTATAAGAAGAGGTCAGAGAGCTAGCTCACTCTCTTTCCACCATGGGAAACACAACAAAAATTTGACAGTCTGCAATCCAGAAGAGGACTCTCATGAGAACTTGACCATGCTGACACCCTGATCTCAGACTTCCAACCTCCAGAAACAGAAGAAATAAATTCCTGTTGGTTAAGCCACCCAGTCTATGGTATTCTGTTATAGCAGCCTGAGCTAACTAAGACATCATCCATGACAAGGATCTTGGCCCCTGTCTTAGTCAGCTTAAGCTGCCATAACAAAATACCATGGACTCGGTGGCTTAAACAACAGGAATTTATTTATTTCTCACAGTTCTGGAGGCTGGCAAGTCCCAGATCGAGGTCCAACAGGATCAGTTTCTGGTAAAGACCCTCTTCCTGGCTTGCAGATGGCCATCTTCTTGCTGTGTCCTCACATGGGAGAGAGAGAGCTCTGGTGTCTCTTCCTCTTCTTATAAGGGCACCAATCCCATCATGGGGGCCCACCCTCATGACCTCATCGAAACTTAATTACCTCCCAATGGCCCCACCTCCAAATACCATCACATTGAGGGTTAGGGCTTCAACATATAAATTTGGGGGTGACACAAACATTCGGTCCATAACAGCTCTGGAATATAAAGCCTAAATTTCTCTTCTGTAAACCTCCTCCCCTACCTTTTCCTTTTGTTGGTTGATCTTTTGCAGTGATGTGAATGCCAGAAAAATCCTGCCCTCACCTTGCCCCACCCTGCACAGCCAGGAGCAGAGCAGCACCAGCGCCTCCCTGGAAGACAGGTCTGTGGTCTTCTTCCTCTAATGCCTGTGACGGCCCCTACAGTAGGCGGAGTGGGACAAAATCGCCGGTCCACTACCCCCGCTATCAGAGGAGCCCCTTGTCCAAGGCTGCCCTCCACCCTGGAACCCCGGGAACTCCCTGGGATCTCTCACAGATGCCATCTCGCAGAGCTGGGGAATTTTCTCCCAGGGTCACTGGGGCCCTGTGCGGGCAGAGTTGCTCCATGACTCCTTGTGTGTAGGTGTACCTGGGGCCTTTAAAGGAAAGAGGAGCTGGCCCAGGAGCAGTTCCAAAATAGCCCACTAGCCTCGCCACAGAGTCCCCAGGCAGGGACGGACATGGGGTGACAAGCCTGGTCTCAGGCCTGGGAGCCATTCGCTCCAGGCTGAGCAAAGTTGATGAGGCCTCGCCCCAGCGCCTGCTCTTTGTGCCCTCTGACTAGAACACCTGCGTGCCCTTCTTCACCTGGCCGACCCTACTCTTCTCCCAAGGCTGTCCAAGGGAGCATCCCACCCACTGTCCTCCCCACCCCCAGACAGAACGAACAGCGCCACGCAGCTCCCTGCCCTCCCTGCCGCAACTCTGCTGTAGCACTTCTCGTGGAGTTGCAGCTGGAATGCCGACCCAAAATCCTTTATACAATCCTCACCGCCTTCTAAGGGAGTGGGCACTGTCACCTGCTGTGTGCAGTGACAGCTGTGAGGATGGAAGCTTGGCAGAGCCAAGAGAGTGCATTGCTCTAAATTTTCTTAAGGGGGATTTTATATGTACAGGAGTTGGATGGAGAAAGAGGAGGGAGAAGGGCACACACATCTCTCCCTTTTAAAGGGAAGCTCCTGGAAATCCCACACAGCACTTCTTACAAATCTCATTGGCCAGAACCTGGTCACCTGGCCACACGTAGCTGCAAAGGAGGCTGGGAAATGTAGGCGGTTTTTAGCTGCAGCACCTTTCTCAGCTAAATATTATGGTTCTTTTTTTAAGGAGAGAGGGGAGAACAGTTATCTCTGCCTCAGGAGCAACTAGCTAAGCCATGGTGGGGGATGGGGACGCACTGGGGAGACATCCTAAACTATATGCCATCTAAGTTGAGTGCTGGGTGCTGAAGGAAACAGTTAAGCCCCAGGTAGAATGGGCTTGGTTTGGTTAAGTTGCAGGGGGCTGGGGAGGCATGGTGGTGAGGGGATGGAGGAGGTGGAGAAAGAAAGCACATTCAGCCATGTGAAGGTCTGGGGGAGAGCAGCCCAGGGGGAGGGGACAGTAAAAGCAAAGGGCCTGAGGCCAGAAGGAACTTGGTGTATTTGAGTCACAGAAAGGAGGTCAGGGTGGCCGGAGCGTAGTGAACTGGGAGCCAGATCACAGAGGGATCCGACCACACAGCGATGGAGTTTGAATATCATTCCAAGAGCAATGAGAAGCCACTAACGGTTTAAGCCAGGAGAAGACATGACACGTTTGCGTGTAAAAGGATGGCTGTGGCTGCTGCACAGAGGAGGTGGAGAGAGTCAGGAGGAGGCCGAGTGCAGTGGCCCAGCTTCCTGGGTGAGATGCGGTCGCTGAAAATGGGAAGCACTTTGGGAAGGTAAGCACTGAGTCGAAATGTAAGTAGCAGTAAGTGTGATGTGTGGTTGTCCCCAGCATCCCTGCAAGGTCAACGTCGTCCGTCCCTCTCACCGGGGACAGCCAGACAGACTCAGACATCTTGGCGTTCATCAAGGCCAGACAGAGCATCCTGCAGAAGAAATGTAAGTGCACCTTCCTCCAGGGCACCACTCACCCGACTCTGCTCACCAACACTTGGTGGGGAGGGGGGGAAGGCTGGAGCGAGCAGTGAGGTGGGAAGGAAGTGGGAAGCTTACTGGCCCTGCCGTCACTTCACATGTGCCTGGCCTCTGCTTCCTTCGAGAGAAAGCCACAGAGGGCAGCGTCAGAAACACCAACACAGGCCCAAGGGGTGGCTGGCCCAGATGCACCCGCCCTGCCTGGCAAAGCGCCTCTCCCTCCTCCAGACCTTCAGCTCCTTTTGTTCTCTCTCCCCAAAGCCAGCTCTCCTTCACTCAGCCCTCTCAGAACAGGAGGGGCTGAGTGACGGTTTGGAAACTTGCTGAATCCCTGGCTGGAAACCTCACCCTCCTGTGGGAGTGGGGTTCTGGCCACTGAGTTATAGACAGAAACACCACTTGAAGCCCAGGTCTGAGGACACCGTAACAGTTACAGAGGCAACGTGTGTGGTGGGTCAGACACAGGATGAGAGAGAAGGCCCTTTCCAGCCTTCATCACTGACGGCCCCACTCTTCCTCTTGGCAGCTGCCCACCTGCTGTGGACAGGCCTTCTCTCCTGCCTTCCTCTCCCCAGAGAGCCCCAGGGAGAGCCCCAGGGCCCCCTGCCTCAGCCCCGCCTTAGTCTTAGCCAGCCTTAGTCTTAGCCAGGAATGCAAAGGCTGCTAGACAGGTTTAGCATTGCCTTCACGTGTCAATGAGGCCCGTTGATGGATGAAACGGCAGACTGGGTCCTCTAATGACTGACACGTACCCTGAGGGCCTACACTCTCGGCTTATGGCCACCTCTCTGCAGTTCAGACAGCGGGAGGTTTGCACGTGGGTGGAGCACCCCAGTGAAGGACGGCCTTTGCCGTGCAGGCAGGCTCGCTGGGATGCCAGCCTGCTTACTGTGCTCTCTTCACCACCAGACCAGCTACATCAGCACCGTTGTCAGGTCTTCTCCGAGGCCTGAGACACCTGCCACCGACTTGCTGTCCCACCTTGACCCCATAACTTTCCTTCTCTCACCTTCAGTCTCCTTATCTTAAAAAAAAAAGACAGAAAATTAGATTCGGTGATTTCCAAGGCCCCGTCTACCCCCAAAATACTCTAACAATATGTATTGGACACTGAACAGTACTGAACAGCCAATCAGTGAATGAACACTGTATTTATTGGGCACCTTCTGTATGCCAGGCACTGTACCAGTACTAGGGCCCTAGCAGTGAACATCACAGAGTTCAGTCCTTGATGTTCTGGGAGGAGCAAAGAGATAGATGATGAACACATCAACAGATACGTAAGATCGTGTGAGGTGCTAATAAATGCTATGAAATAGCTAAAATATGTAGTATTGTAGAGAGCAACTGGGAAGGTGCTTTTAGCTGGGGAGCAAGGGGGAGGCCCCTCTGGAGAGGAGAACTTGAAACCGATAGCTGAGTAGTGAGAATGGAGCAGCCATGCAGTGTTCTGTGAGTGAGCAGAAAGTGAAGAGCCCTGGAGGGGAAGGACCTTGGCTTGGTCACAGGGTGAGAAGGAGGCTGGAGTGGCTGGAGGACCGAGTGAGGGGGTAAGGGGGCCCTGGCTTCTACTCCAGGTGCAGTGGGAACTCAGCAAAGAATTTCAACCATGGTGTGATGTGATCTGATTGGTGCTTTCGAGAACCCACTCTGGGTGTTGAATGTGGTGTGGGTGGTAGGAGACTGGGAGTAGCACTGTTGTCAGGATCGTGGGAAGCTCCAGGCAAGGGGTGAGGGTAGCCTGGACCCACCAGCGGATTGGACATGAGATGTGAGAAAGAGAGAAGAGTTAGGAGGGCTCCTGGGCTTCTCATCTGAGCAGCTAAGACAATGGTGGTGTCATTTCCTACAACGAGAAAGGCAGGGGGTAGTGGACATCAGAGGGAAGGAGCTGGAGGAATCAAGGGTTCTGGCTGGCCCATTTGGAGTTTCAGACGCAATCTGAGATCCCAGGGAGATGCTGAGTAGGCAGCTCAATGTGACTCTGGAGGTCAGCCGGGAGGTCTGGATGGTGTGTAAAGCCATGGCACTGGATAATGCCCCCTTAGAAGAGAGCAAATAGTGTTATTCCAATTGCTGACAACAGATTCCTGGGGCACTATGACATTTAGCGGGAGAAGGTAAGATCCAACCAAGGACACTGGGAAGGCTCGGCTAGGGCCAGCAGGTGAGTGAGTGTGGCCTCAGGCAGGTCTGCAGGAGAATGTGTTCTAAGGGAAACGGGCCAGTGGAGTCCAGTGCTGCTGAGAGGTTGAGTCAGTAAGCAAGGACGGAACACTGACCGTTGGCCATTTCGCATGTCATGTTGGTCATGGATAAGTGCCCTTTTAGTCAGGGGACTGGGAGAATGAAAACGCCATTGGAGTATTTGAGGAGAGAAAGCAGAGACAGTGAGTAGAGACAACTCTCCCAGGGAGTTCAGCTGGGAAGAGGAGCAGAGAAATGAGGCAGAGCCAAAGGGAAATCAGGACCAAGGCGAGGGGTTTTGGGTTTTGTTTTAAAAGGTTACGAACACGTGTCTCTGTAGTGAAAGGCCTGGTCCAATAGAAAGAAGGAAATTGATGATGTGGAGAAGCAGACCAAACTGCAGGAGAAAATTCTTTGAGGAAGTGAGAGGGGATGGTGTCTGGGACATAGCGGAGGGAGCTTTTGGCCTTTGCAGCTGCGAGACCACCTCCTCTGTAAAAAAAAAAACTCATGAAAATAGGGGCCAGCCCAGTGGCATAGTGGTTAAGTTCAAGTGCTCCACTTTGGCAGCTGGGAGTTCGCAGGCCCGGATCCTGGGCGCGGACCTATGGGTTCAGATCTCGTCATTTCTCCCATCCAGAAGCCTGCCAGCGGCCAGCCCAGTGGCATAGTGGTTACGTTCGTGCACTCCGCTTCAGAGGCCTGGGGTTCGTGGGTTTGGATCCCAGGCACGGACCTACACAACACTCATCAAGCCATGCTATGGGGGCATCCTACATACAAAATAGAGGGAGACTGGCACAGATGTTAGCTCAGTGACAATCTTCCTCAAGCAAAAAGAGGAGGATTGGCAACAGATGTTAGCTCAGGGCCAATATTCCTCACTGAAAAAAAAAAAGAAGCCTACAAGTAAGCAATGTTTGTAAGTTATGTTTCCCCGGCTTTTGTATGCATCATAGAGACGTTATCAGAAGGGTGGGGCACTTTTATGAAAATGTGTATGGCACGTTACCATTAATACATTTTTTTCATTTATATTATTTCATCTGATGTTCTCAACACTCTTGTAAGGTGTACAGAGCCAAGAGTATGATCCTCCTTTTGACAGGTGAGGAAACTGAGGCACACAGAGATTGAATAACCTGCCCAGTTAACAATGGCAGAGCCGGGATAACCCAGGCTTTCTACGCTCTCTTCACTGAGCCACACTGCCTTGAGAAGCCACTCTGCTCATCTCTTGGCCTCTACCCTCCCTGCAGCTGGGGAGCTTTGTTCTCCAAACAAACAGCAGCCTGGAAGTCATTCATCAAAACAAACAAAAGTTCCAGGGTTCCATTTTTATTCTTAAGGAAAGAAAAATAATCCTGGGTTCTTAGTGACCATGGAGCCACAAAGGAAGCTGAAGACAGGATTTCAAAGGGTCCCTGTCCTGCTAGGTCAGGTGCAGATGGCCCAGGTCACAGCACACAGCACTGTCTGCATGGCCCACTTGGCAGGCTCCTGGCCAGGCAGACAGCAGGCCGGGCCCAGCACCTTCCCCAGCCAAAGCAAACACTTCCCTCTCCTTGCCCTGGGCTGCCTCTGCTCTTAATTTAGCAGAGCTGTCTGTCTGGGCTTCTTCAGGAGTGCTCGTTATGGAGACTTTGTAACCATCAGCCTGGGAGCAGGAGCCTGGAGAGGGTGATTTAACATAAGCCTCGCCCCCAGTCTCTTCAACTTCACCCAGGGCCAGGATGAATCTACTTGATTGACGATCCCCGGGAAAAGCTGTGGACCGTTTAAATCCCTGCCAGGGGCACGTGTAGACAGGTATATATCCCCCCTAAGGGGCGTTAGTCATCCATGGTGTCAAAGCCACTGTTTCTGACTGCCAAGGATGTTTTTTAAATCTGAGAAAATGAAGTTAACCCCTATCTAGAATGCTTTTTTTTTTTCCCCAATCATCTTTCTTAGTCGCTGTGTTTGGAAGTATTTCCATCCGGACAGGAACCTTGGTGTGACCCCCGTGGCCACGATGCCCTCTTCTTCAGCTCTGCTCGAGTGCCTCAGAGCCCCCCGCCACCCCCAGTCCCACCATCTCCACTCTGAGAAACCCTCCAGCTCGCTCCTTTGTTCAGGAGCTCTCCCCGTGAAACGGAAGGAACCCAGAACTAAAAGCAAGGGCTATTTCTGACCGTGTGACCTTGGGCAGGTCACCTCCTAGAGCCTCCCTCTCACATCCGTCAACTTCAGACTCCACCTTTGCCCAGGTGGTCAGCCTCTCCTAAGTAATGTCCATAAAAGTCCCTTGTAAACCGCCAAGCACCGGGGAGCTGGCGGCAGGGAAATTGGCTTCCGTGGTTAGAACTGGTTTAACGCGGTGAGGTGTGAGGTTTTCTTAATGGTCTGTCTGTAGCAGCACCTTCTATTCTGGGAATCCACAGTCACAAAACCTCAGTATAGATGACAGCTCCACCACGTGACTGGGGTTCATACAGTAAAGAATGAACTAGAAACGGCACCTTTCATTTTGTGTCGCAGTCTGTGTCGCACTTGAAGAACTGTGTCTTGGAGTATTGAATGCTCTGAGCCTGCTCTGCGGCATTTCTTCTCAGCTCCACCCCCCCACTGCCCCTCCCCTAGTCATCAGTGCATGCGAGTGTCTGTGGGGGTCAGTGGGTGGGTGGGAGCTGACTCGGATTCTGTGCTGACTGCCCTGGCGGCATGAACTCATCCTGGCCCAGCCTGCTTAGCAATGGTGCAGAGGAAACCTCAGACTCATGGTTTAATCAGCAGCCACGTGCTTGGTGGTCCCCAGGACCTGCCCTCTCCGAGCAGAACTGGGAATCCCGGGTCCAGAATGACTGGAACACATCACCTTCATATGCTCTGGTGTGCCTGATGTCCTTCCTTCCTGTCCTAGGATTCAGTCAGGACAGCTAGAAGTGTCTTAAAAATAAGGACCATCTTGGGGCCGGCCCTGTGGCATAGCGGTTAAGTGCTTGCGCTCCGCTGCTGGCGGCCCGGGTTCAGATCCCAGGCGCCAATGCACCGCTTGTCTAAGCCATGCTGTGGCAGCGTCCCATATAGAGTGGAGGAAGATGGGCACGGATGTTAGCCCAGGGCCAGCCTTCCTCAGCAAAAAAAGAGGAGGGTTGGCGTGGATGTTAGCTCAGGGCTGATCTTCCTCACCAAAAAAAAAAAAAAAAAAAAAGTAAGGACCATCTCCATTTAATCAAATAGCCGGGCCAGCCTGAGCTCCTGCACACAGAATTAGATCTGAAGGACCAAGTGCTCATAATCCTGAATTGTTTTTGACCTCTTCCTTCCCGTCACTTCCCACATTCAATGTGTCACAGAGACTTACCGATTCTTCCTCCGCAATATTGAGCAGACCTCGCCCACAGTCCCCACCCACTGCCAGGTCCCCAAGGCCGCACATGGATGGCTGCAGCTGCCTTGCCCCTCAAGCCCTCAAGCTGCTGCCATTTTGTTTTTTGAACACTGACTTCATTACTCCACCCAAAAATATTTAGAAATTTCCTTTTGCTCTTATTATATAACCAAACTTTAAGCGAATTGACTGCATGTCACTCATACCAGTTCTTCTCACACTTTAATGTGCCAGGGAAACTAGCGGTTTTGTTAAAATGCAGATTCTGATCCAGTAAGTCTGAGTGGGGCCCAAGATTCTGCATTTTTTAACAAGTTCCCAGGGGATGCCAATGCTGCCAGTCTGTGGACCACACTTTGAGAAGCCAGGGGCCATGCTTTGTCCAGGTGCCTC